ATTTTATGTAAAGAATGAGCACCAAAGTATTATTCATTCAGATTTACCGGCATGGTAAGGGAATTAAAGGCCTGTCCCAAATATAGGCAGGGTGAGTTCAGTGATTTAAGCAAATAAATATTATATTAATTAAAGTTTTACGGTATTAGAAGTATTTATAAGTATAAGTATTATTTATGGTTAGAAGTAACTCTTGTAACTCAGGAATCAGGAATTCTGTATTATAATTATGACAATAAATGCAAAGTCTTACGAACCTCCTTTTCATTTTTGGATGTAACAGGCAGGACAGGCTGCTGGAGGGACACCTAGAGAGGAAAAGACAGGGCTTGATTTACCTTCACAAAATTGCCCAATTCTTCTTCCAGCACATTTTGGAAAGGTGTACCTTCAAATTAAGGCAAAAATTGTGCTCCATGCTTTATTGTTTTCGGCTTCATCAGGATGGTGTTTGAGATAGTTTCCAGTTTCCTTACAAACAGTCCACCATTCAGTCAGGTGACTTATAGATCACCATAAATACAAGTTACTTGTATTTAATATAAATTACCACCATTTAAAAAATAGTTTTCACAAACTACACTATTTAGGAAACTCTGAATATACAAACATTTCTAAATATTGTTTATCAAACACACACAAATCTGCATGTTAATCCATCAATGGGTAGAAAGGCTGAATCTGAATTTTTCCACATCATAACTACTCTTAATCTTGACACAACCATACATTACATAAATTTCCATTCAGATCGAGAGCAAATTTAATCCAGCGGACTCAACAAAATGGCTTCCAGTCAAGTTCTACCCCCTTGGGCTTTAATGGACTGAACCTGGCACTGGTCTGAACTTCACTGTGTGTGAGTCTTTGCAAGTAGAACAAAATGAAAAGTTAACTAAGAAGTAACTATGTAGGTAAGTAACTCACCTCCATGTAGTTTTCCTCACAGATGATCTCTCTGGTGCTCCACCTCCCGTGCAGTGAGCAGTGGAGCTTGAAGGGGTACGCCGCCACCTTCCCATCCGCCTGCAGGTTCACAAACCAAAGACGCAGGTGATAGTCTGTGCCTCCCTGCAGGGGAGGGATACAGAAGCTGTTAGCTTTGCAATTTTACATTATAATCAAAGCATTAAAATATGGAAAACAAATCTACCTCGCTGTGAACATGACAGGCCAAGAAAGAGGCACGAAACACCAGATCTCCGACATCATTGATTAGGACAGTGTAACCACAGAGTGTGGCCTCCTGATCAGACAAGAGGTGGAATCCATACTGGTCTGGTGGTTTACAGCAAAAACTCCTTAACAAATACGTCTTCGATACCTTTTCCGTCTACTAAGAACATTTTCTGGTACACATGATGATAAAAAAGAGATACCTTCAAAGTCAAAACGGATCCTCAGGCCAAGGAAGCTGGACTTGACAGAAAGCCAAAAGTGACGCTCAAGGCACTTGATCTGAAACGTTCCTGAAAACATTAAGAATGGTGTCAAATCACAACCAATTACGAAACAAAAGTGTTGTGTTAAGGATTCACTAAATGTGAAAATGCATTAAACTGAGCAAACCCTGGGCTTTTGTCATTACACTGAAAAATGACTGCAGTGGGGCCTACATTTTATTTTACAGTAAATACACGTTTGGCAAAATTGTATTGAGATTATATGAAGATTTTTTCTAAAATGAATTAATATTCTGTTGTTGTATCGGTAAATCCACTGGTTTGAGGACAATTGCTTTGAACATAAATGTGATTACTTTGAGTGACTTTGCATAACTTTGCATTTGCCATCTTTGATATTACCAAACAGTAATATTGTATTATTTTCAGCCATATAACCATATTCTATACATGCACTGTATGGTTGCTTTGTCTGTTCTTATTAAATAATGTAAGATTAATAAAATAACAGTTGGCATTTCTGTATCTCGCACTGCACCATGTCAAACTGTTAACTGCACTGTATTTTCCCCTGTGAGAGGATATGTAATGTTCCAGCAATATAAAACTCATGACATGAGAAGGTGATATATTACATATTGAAAGAAAAACGTTTTATTAGCATTGCTGAAGTAATATCCACTGGAGCCACCAGAGTCCCCTGCTCCTCGCTCATTCCCGAGTAAAGTTATGAAACAGGTTTTCAAGCTTTATGAGGCCACTCATTGTCGGTAAACCGGTCTTACCTGTCGGCACTGGACTTGTAACACTGAAAGGTGACCCGAGGACCAACACTATAACGTTACTGAAACAAACACACATCAGTAAGTCTTTACATGAGGCTTAAATCACGCTGTTGCCTTTCACTTTTAAACTCACCCACACAGAATATGGACAAATATGTTCATTTCGGAAAAGCAAATGGAGACTCAGTTTATGACTCCCGATTTGAAAGCTGTCAGTCTGTTTGCATTCGGGAAATGTCGCCATTTTGACTCACTCACCTGTTAATTAAGACGCTAATTAGCAAAAAACTTCCGTTCATCTTTATAGATAAAAGAGGCTGTATAGCAATGATAGTTTATAATTATCCTCAAAGTAAATCAGCAAAAGGTCAGACGTTATTTCGTGAGGCATTTATGTACCTGTTGGTTTTCTGGCTCTGAAGGAAAATGCGATCCTACAGCGACACCCAGCGGACAGAGCGCGTTTGTCACTGATGTAAAGTGAACATTACACTCCACAGCAGGCAGAGGTGCAATTAACCAAGTACAATTTGATGTAGGCTACTTGAGCATTTTCATTTTATACTTACTACTTCTACTTTAGTACATTTAGCACTACATTCTTACTTTGTGGATTTAGATCATTAATAAAAATATTAACAACATATAAAATACGATATATTGTTAGAGATGAAGCTACCTAGGCGTATAGAGTAATGTAATTAAAATGAGCTCCACCTTTACTAGCTGCAACATTAAAATGTGCACCTTAATTAGTCAGATGGTAATAGAAATATTTGACTCACCAGCTTGAAATACAGAATAAAATATTGAACTTAATGACAGCATTAAGAATCCTATAGTTATCTAACCGTAGGTGAGGATGTTTAATTAACTCTGACACAGTGGAGGTGTGATCTATGTGATCATCACACCGTCTCCTTTGTCCAGGGAAGCACAGCTGGACACCTGCGGTCACGACATCCCCACTGCTCGGAAAATGTTACTTAAAGTCAAGTCGTTTCGTGATTAAAGGCTAAGTAATCAGACTTATCATCGAGAGTCCTGTGGTGGAAAAAAGGTCAGCGGTTCTCAAACTGAGGACACATGACTGGAGGACAAAATGTGGAGCAGAAATAAAGTTTAATGAATCTGATTAATGTGGGGATGATACATTTTGGACAGGGAGGAAATTAAGAACAGGTAATGCCAGTCAAGCACGCAGGTCAGTCACAGTAAGATGAAGCCTTGATGGTCTTTAGTTCACTTTCATGTAGTGAGCAGGGTACAAGCATGTCCAGTTCTTGACCTTATTATTTAAAAATTACATCCAACTTGACTCATTTTGTAACTAATTTCCCGCTGGGTGATTGATCAAACCTATAATAATAGGAGTGGCAGGGATTTTTTACTGATTCCTAAGGGGGGGCATGGTCACAAAAATCTGAGAACCGCTGAATAGGTGGAACGCCTGAAAAGAAATCTGCCTTCCTATCCTATTAAAAGAGTTCTCTGCAGATTTAGCATTGTGCTCCTATAGTATTGTCTGAATCATGATGGACAGTAAAATAAAAGGATCAAAACTGATACATCCTCTTTTTTAATGTCAAAACCTGGCACTTACATTTCCCACAAAGCAACTCGACCGGCGTCAGTAACGTTTTTAGATTGGATTGTGTTTTGCTAGTAGCGGCTGATGTAGCCTCAAGCTGCTAGCTTTAAGCAGAGATGAGGAGATGAACTCCACACTCACAGATTTTTGTCATTTTCAAACTTGCGCTCTACAGACCCAGCTGATACTGACTCAATTGACATCATCTGAGGCAGTACATCAGACATTGGGCATCAACATCTGGAATTACAAAAGGCTTCATACAACACAATGTGCAGACCTGTAAACAGTTTTTGATGGGTAGAATCTCATCCCATGAAGTTCAATGGTCTCGCAACCGCTCACGTTGATTTTGTGACCTCTTGTGTGGTCCTGAACCTCAGGTTGACAACCACTGAACTAAGTTAACTGGGCAGTTTGGATGAGCCTGCAACCTTCCCACTCTTTTGACATTGTGTTTTGAAATGGTCAAACTATAAATTATTGATTGATGAAAGGTGATAAAAACCTTCAACTCTTGACCAAACACTTCAATTATGTCCTCATTTATGCCCAGACTGCAAACAAAATACATCGAGTGGTTTGTTTGCCATCTGACATTTAGATTTTCTCCGTGCTTATTTTCCACTGACTCAAAGTGACGGCATAAAGGGTGGTGGACCGGTTAGCAGTGTCCAGGCTGCCTCATTAACATTTGAGTCACTTTGTGTCATTAACAACTCTGCGTAGCATGATGGCCTCATGTTGAGTTCAGGACACCTACGAAGCTGGTGTGGCAAACCATGACCAAAGTAAAATCATAAGTTTGCATTAACTTTGATTTTACTGTTTAGCATCTAATGTTTCACATTTAAAGTTACGAGTACTAATCAACCCAGAAGTCAGATTCTGGAGGTTTTGTTGGACGTGTTACAGGAGCAGTTTTGTCCATGCCGTCACAGCGAGGATGACCTTATCTTGTCCAGTTACACCTGTGTTCATGACCTCCACCACACACCTCCTCGCTCCCTCACCGCCAATCACATCACTTTGTTGGCTTGAGGATGAGGAGGGTTTGAAGATGAAGAGGCCTATTTATCAGCTCAACACACTCAAACAGTGATCACATTCAGCTCCTCCACCGTCATACTTTCTGATAGGTTTGTTATATTTTGGACCTTTGCAGCATTGCACATCATCGGACAATCAGGGAACTGAAGAGTTGGATTCTTCTGTTTTTAGATTGGGGTGGAAATGCTTCGCTCTCATGTGCAGGTACTTCTTGTGGCTTTGTTTTCCTCCGTGCTGCTGGTGCAGGTCAGCGGAGCTCCACGCAGAGACATGCTGACAGAAACTCTGAGAGCAGACCTTGAAAACGACAAGGTGAGAGACACATATATTTAATGTTGCAAAGATTTAAATGGCTAAAATGAAGGAAGTGCCTGTCAGGAGTTGAGACAGGTGTTTAACAGTTGGCATCTTTCAAAGGGAACAACTTTAAATTTGGAAGTGATTTGTCCGAAGTGCTTTTTTTAGTTGCCATTCCTTTTCTGTCCTCCTTTAGGATCTCACTCACTTGCTCTTGCTGAAGTTTGTGTCTGAACTTATGGCAGCGAGAGGAGACGAGATGCTCCCCGAGCTAGACGAGAGGGAGGTGGGAGTCGGAGAGGAGGTGATGCGTCGACATCTTCCCCTCTCCCAAAGAGAGCGCAAGGCAGGCTGCCGTAACTTCTTCTGGAAGACGTTCACCTCGTGTTAACACGTCAAGAACTGTTCAAGCTGGAGGGTTTTTTGTTTTAGGATACATTTATCCACTTTGTTGTAACTGGATAATTTACTGCAAGATGCCAAATATTCATTGCCGATTGTAAACAGTAATAAGGTTGTATGTTTTGAGGTTGGCAGGGATGTACAGTGCGTAAAATAAAATGTCCTGATTTAAAAGGGTTTTGTTTGTCAAGCGATATCCTGATTCTCTTTCTCTCCAGTGATTTGGTACTGCACAACTTTGGAGACTTACAAGAACAAGAACTGTCAAAACTGAAGCAGCAGGGCCTACGTGATCCTACGTTTCCCATAATGCAACTCACTTGCATATTTTGTCAGACCGCTCCTGCCTGGTGAACCTCTCTCAAACGCTACAGCCCACACTATGACCCAGGCATTTGGCTCAGACTTCGTAGCCTCCAAGCCCATGCCAGAATAACCCTGATGACATCACTATGACATCATCAGGTTGTTTTTTTCCCCCCCAGATTTAGGAGGCGACAGAAGACATTCGGACCAAAGAAGATTCTCTGTGACTAGAAAAGTGAACTTCAGTGGTGTGCCCTGTTAAGTTTTGAACATGCGATGTTTGTATAAAAAGTGACCAACACACCAATTAACTTGTTGGCATTTTAATAATCAATTATGTTATTACAAACTGTATTAGGAGAAAATCCACCCATGTGTTCACGTTTTTCCTGTTTATTTGATACAAAATGGCATCCTTCCTCTCAGCGTGTATTCAGCTTTGATGTACAAGCTCTAATTCAGAGCATTTCAAACTGAACACACAGAAAGGAGGCTAAATGGATGACGGTGTAACAGAAACAAAAATCACGTGATTCAAGGAGTTTGACACACGAGCTGGCATGGGTTAGGATTTAAAATGACACATCGGAGGATGAATGAAATGATAACCTTAATGATACAAAGCAGATTAATACAGTATACACATGATGAGATAAATTAACAAGAGATGAAAAATTAAAATGAATGAACCGCTTTAGCATGATCAAGTTGTGTCACACACACACACATACACCAAAAGCAAAATTCACAAAGTTTCAAAAAAAACAAAATAAAAAGGAACATTATGAAACTGAATGACATCCTTGAGGTAAGTCTTTCAGATTTCTAGCCCTTTAAGTTACACAAATACAAAATCAGGACGGAGAGACAGAGGTTAAACACAATCATAACAAAAATACTGTAGCTCCGAAATCTCAGAGAATGACAGCTCGGCCCACGTGAGTCCAAGGATGAACAAAAATCTAAACCGCAATCAATCTCTGGGCTAATAATTCATTACATTCAATTCCATTTTTATGTCACTGAATGTAACGAATTAACAGCATGTAGAAGTATTTGTCAAGTAGAGAAGCTACCCAATAAACTTTTAAATATTAAATCATTTTAGTTTCACACTTTTCCCGATATTACATTCTTCACACGAGGCTGAAGCTTCACACAGAAGGATGTTTTTAAGCCACGTAAGTGACCAACACCCTGTTTTCCTTAGAAGAAAGCATTTGACTTCATTGCACCATTATATTCAATATAACAGTCAAGCATCAAACAACAATAAATGTTAAACAAACCAAAGCAAGTTTGTGTTTTTCATAGTTCACAAATGTTATTCCGGATGATAAAAAAAAAAAAGGCAAAAATCCTGTTATGAGCTTCTAACTAAACAACATGACACTGTAATGTTTGAGTGTATGAACGAGAGGTGTGTTCTAGCAAATAGTGTAACTAGCATTTAATAAAATCTAAAGAAAACCAAAACGTCTGGGTTATAAAGTTAACTACACATTCCTTTCGTCTACATTTCCCGTGCTATGAGGCTACGTCTCAACATGGCTACATGCGCTCCAAAACAGCTGGGAACAGTTTCATTGTCAAACAAAACCAGCCTGTTATGTACACTCACAGTTGTTGCATTACGTGCTTTTAATGTGCTCGTTTTGAGGCAGTTCTGCACTTTGAAGTTTAGTGTTTTACAAATGTACAGGTCCCGTTGTTTAGACAAGCCGCCTTCCTAATTATCATTTATGCAGCTTCTCTGCTAAAAAATCCCTCATTTTCAGATCTAAATCTATAATATCCTTCCGTACGTTCATTGTCTTCGACAGTGATAATAATGTGCAAGGTAATAGCTGAGCAGTACCGATAAATGGTAAGTGGAGCCCAAGCTGCCTGCAGGTCAGGCCACTGTCACGCCAATACTGAACTAAATGTAAAATGAGGACCTGTGTGTAACAAAGGCGAAAGAAAATGTAGTAGGACCTCTGAATGAAAGGAAACTAGTGAGGCAGTTGCTCCACCAGAACTCCACTGCAGCTGGATACCAACAGAGGGAACTGTAGCAAAGTTTATGCCAACCAAGAAAGAAAGTAGTAGCTCAGGGGTCTGAACAAAGCAGGGGCATTTCCTGTCAATAATGTGTGATATGTTGACTGTCCGTGGAGTCGTGAGAGAGTGCTGAGAAGGTGCAGCAGACAAGAGGCTCATTAGCAGTCGGTGGAGATTTTGGCTGAGAGGTCCTGGATGCGGCGTGCGCTGCAGCTCTTACACAAGATGTGGCCATCCAGTGGGTAACAGCCTCGACCCTCCCCTTCAGAGGACAGCAGGAGACCACATTCCTGATGAGCACAGACACTTCAGTGAGTTCAACTTAACACTTTCGCATAGACCCATAAATATATGTAGAAATTTAACAAACACTGCACATTTTGGGCACTCGTACTATACAGAATATGGTAATTTGTGATCCTACATTTTCCAGACAGGGTTAAGATTTCTGCAGATGTTTTTCTTAAAATTAGTCTTTTTAACTTTCATGCAATAATCAGACCAAAAATGAATGTGCGAATACTCAAAGCTCTTGTGTTTCCTCTCAAACCTAACAAAGAGTCTTAAATTAACAGGTCCTTGTTTCTGGTATTTTGTATTATACAGTCCTGTCCTCACCTCACAGACATAACAGTTGACGTGGAAGCTGCGGTCCAGAGCTACAATCCTGACTGTCTCCTCCTGGCCCTGTTCAGGCATGATGGGCTCCCCACAAACTGAACAGCGAGGTGCATACTTCCTGTCAAGGAGGACAAGCATCCAAATTTACAGTTAGTGGACATGTCTGTCACTTGTCTTTATACCGTAGAACAAGAGAAAAACGGGAATAACATCATGTAACATTGTTAGGCGTGGTGTTTGAACGTCTTTATACCTATGAAAGTCATCTATGCAGTGTATCTGAGAGGTTGCGTCCACGGTGAAGGGCACCCCGTCCAGGCAGCAGTTACAAACCACACATGTGAAACAGCGAGGATGGTAGGCCCGTCCCATGGCCCGCAGGATGCGGTCCAGGATGGGCTTAGAGCACTTTGAACAGCGCTCTAATGTACTCTGACAAGAAAAGTAGAAACAGGAGTGTGGGTCAGAGTAGGAACAACAAACCGGCAAATACAAAAAGGGGATAAGAGGTTGAAGCAGACACACATGTGAACAAACACTTTGTCATAACATCATACACACAACCAGCCAAAAATGGGATAAACTAGATCTTTGTTGTACTCTTGTTTCCTAACTTACAATGTAACAACTCTCACAGTAACTCTTCTTGTCGAGGGCGTAGAAGGGTTGGCCTCGGAGACGGGCGTGGCAGGTGATGCAGGTGAAACACTCCACGTGGAACACCTGCTCCATGGCGATGCAGCCGCTGCCGTCACCGACCACGTTGTCACCGCACCGGGCACAGCGACCTGAAAGTGGGAGGTTGACACAGAAAGTCCAGATGTTGTAAATCTTGAGTTTGTTTTACTTTAAATGAAAGAAAGCAGGTTTGGCGGTTTCGTAAGTCTTTAATGTAACAAGAGGCGACTGTACCAAAATAGTCCTCCGAAGGGGGGTGGTTCATGTCATACACCAACTTCTTGGTGAGTCGATCCAACTCTTCCTCAGGCCTGGCTGTTACCAACCCCTGCAGGAAGAAAAGAGGATACATGAATCACATGTACCTGGAAAGACCAGAAATCATCCCTGGGGTGACGAGTGCCCTCGGGTGGACAAACTATGCAACAATAACGCTAATAACATGATTAAAGGATCCTTATAAGTCTCTCCGTGTCTTTTTTAAGTCATTTATCAGCCATTATAAACACTGATACCAGTTTATCTGCAATTAGTTCCTATAGTCAGGCTCTTGGATGTTATTTAGGGGCTGGGTACTGAACCTTTATTTTTGGGGATCAACCAAAAATGTGTTTCTAGCACTGAGAATCAAAAAAATGTCAAATACCAAAGTTCACATCCAAAGTTACTTACTCTTATCAGATTTATTTCAACATTTTGCCATTTTCTGACAATATTTTTTTTATGTTTTTGATAGGCTGCTTGTGTTTTATACATATAATAGTTTAAATGTTTAGCTTCTTCTTTCAAATGAAAACATGATTTCGTAACAAAGCATGTTTATATCTTTCAAAGTATTATTTGGTGCAGGTACCAAAACAAAGCTATCACACTAGCCTTAATATCCAGAAATGTGATGATTCCCAGCTATTATTAGAGCATATTTGTGTGTATTTTTATTAAGTAAAATAACTGCTCACATGGCATTTCAATCTTGCCAAATTGAGTGCGTAAGATAAAGTCAACATTTTCACAATATACCAGTTGTATTTGCAGCTCACATTTACTTTTAAGATAGAGAAATGTGTCCCCACCTTACTGGGCTGATAAGCAGGACTCTGTGCAGCCCCCGACCCTGTTTGATTATTTTCCATCCCTTTCCTGAGCAGTTGAACCTGGTTAACTCTTCCTCCAGATCCTGAGCTGCTCCCCTTGTACACTGCCTCAGAGTGCATCTCCTGAGCTTGTGAACTGGGGTGTTGAGGGTACCAGCCCTGCGGACTTTGCTGAGTCTGGGGAGGGGGGCGTGACACGTGCTGACGAGGAGGGGGTGGGGTGTAGGCCTGTTCAGCCTGTCTCCCGGTCTGAGAGTAGGTGACGGGCTGTGCCGTTTTGACCTGGACGCTGAACCTCGGCCCAGTAGGAGTTGAGGCGGTGGTGTAGGAGGCTGGGACGGGCTGGGGGTAGGGCTTAGGGGTCAAAGAGGAGGAGTAGTAGTCCTGCTGGTGGGAAGTGGAGTACTGAGGTGACTGGTGTTCGCTGGGGTAAGGGGGCGCTGGGTGGTATTGACTCTGGGGATGAGGGGGGTAGCCCATTGATGGCCGTCCCTGAGAAGGGGCTGCGCTCTGGTGTGCAGGCTTGTAGTGATCCCCTGAGAGGTATTTGTTGTAAGGCACATTGTCGTACAGCTGTGGGGAGCACAGTGATGAAAACATAAGGCAAATGTTACGGTCAACTATGAGCACACGCACTTACTCAAGAAGATGTTTCCATTTAGTGTCAATAAAGTGTTTTGTCCTACTTGTGCGCTGGTGTCCTGGGGGTGGCTGTCCAGATCAGCGAGCATACTCGTGAGGGAGTCAATATCAGCATCGATTTTGGAGTGATAGCCCGCTGACTTTTCAGGACCACGGTGCTAACAACAGAACAGCATAAGAAACATGCAAGCACATAAGGACTGTATTTATTACCGTGTTCGGAAGGTGACATCTCACAGATTAATAGAGACGGCGCTCCAAATGAAGATGTTTTTAATAATCAGCAAAGCAATAAAAAAAATTTCACCCACCATCAGCTCGTAGCTGTCCATGTGAGGGCTCCAGTTGCGATCCTCTTTGGGACCGTGCGGAGGGGAGTAATAGTGATCGCTAGACGAATGATGAATGGGCCCACCTTCAGGTTAGAGAACAGACACAAAAATATACATTTTCCAGACAATCTTGAATCTTTCACTTTGACACGGACTAAATTAGAGTTTTCTTTCAAAGGACTTTCCTTCATAAGATCTACGTTTTGAGGGCTTGGAGATTAGGGGAAAATCCTGACACTTAAATGTAAATAAACACACAACAACAACACAGTTCCAATAGGAGACTGAAGTGAAGGTCTAGCTGTGGTGGTGTAGATATAAAAAGACAGTATGTTGAGACTTGAGAGTGTTATTGTGTACGACTTTTTGTTGTATGATCAAGTAAATAGATGTCAGGCAGTAATTAGGAGCCTTGAATGTAAAGTAATGTAGACTAAATCCTACTAAAAGCTGCACACACGTCGTTTCAGAGGTGTGGAAAGTATAGTGCAGAAGTCACCAGTTTTACATGTAGAAAATCATCATTTAAACATATCTTCTAATACTGACCCACAAAATTGAATAAGTAAATTAAGCCAAGCCTTCGATGTATTTATTTGAATCGGATTAGTTTAAGTACGTCCAAAGATACTTCGTCTTTCACATTTCCACTGACTAGAGGTCTTCTTACCTGTGGGTCCAGTAGCCATGTACCTGTTGGCCATCCCCCCTCCGCCTCCGCCGCCGTCTCCTCCTCCTCCTCCTCCGTTCTGGTCATAGGGGCCATATTTTGGGCGGAAGTCGGACATCCCCTTCTTGTTTGGTGCTCGATAGATTGCAGAGCCGGCAGAGTGGGACATCTGGGGGACGGCTCGCTCTGGGCTATCCAGAGTCCTCGGTGGAAGCCAGGTGGGACCGGACATGGTAGGCTTCTGAATTCAAAGAGTGAAAGGAAAATGTTTTGGCCATGTTGTTCTATTAATAACATTTATATTATAATATGGCTGCAGCATAGATTTCTACACAACGGCTGAATGCAAATCAGTGTCACACAATACTTGAACTGTCAGTTCAGTCAGTACGCATGATTATGTCTTCAGCTTTTATCCATAACTTGCATGAGCACAGCTGTGGCAGTCGTGTGTATCTGTTATAGGAAACCAGTGGAAACTACGGGGATGCTTCAGGCTGTGTTTCCTACGGCAAAGGGGACACACACATTGAACAATAGGCCTCTAGTTGAGTAGCAGGAAGAGAGCAGCCACTCTGAAAGGCTCGGGGATTTCCAGCAGGCTCACACATTGCCCTGAAACATGTGCGAGTTGAGTGTTCGTGTACTTCGAGACAAATGCTCATGCAAAAGTCTTCCAGCACAGAAACATCCTCGTACACAGATCCACAAACAGGTGCAAGTCCGTGGTTACCCCTTGCCTGTTACACGCCACAATGGTAATTGTCTTGGGGTGTTTACACACTGGTATCACTGATTTCCAAATGAAGCGGAGACAAAAACAGGAGAGGAAATATTGTGTAATGATATGTGTCTGTATACACGTGAACACCTGGCTCATAACAATATATTATGTATCCTCTGCGGAATAAATAACAACGCTACAGTAAACAGCTGAGCCGACAAAGCGCTGACTCGCACCTGACAGTTTTCATGAAGAGAAGGAACAACCTAATGTGAACTATTTCCACATTGAGATATCTTTCTATCTATCTATCCATCCACACACACACACACGCTGGTCATATAATTAGAATATCATCAGAAAGTTGATTTATTTCAGTAATTTCATTCAAAAAGTGAAACTTGTATAATGTATACATTCATTCTACACAGACTGATAATTTTGATGATTATAACTGATAACTAATGAAAACCCCAAAATCAGGATCTCAGAAAATTTGAATATTGTGAAAAGGTTCAATATTGCAGAAAACACCTGCAAAGGCCTTTAAATGGTCTCTCAGTCTAGTTCTGTAGGCTACACAATCATGGGGAAGACTGCTGACTTGACAGCTGTCCAAAAGACAACCATTGACACCTTGCACAAGGAGGGCAAGACACAAAAGGTCATTGCTAAAGAGGCTGGCTGTTCACAGAGCTCTGTGTCCAAGCACACTAATAGAGAGGCCAAGGGAAGGAAAAGATGTGGTAGAAAAAAGTGTACAAGCAATAGTGATAACCGCACCCTGGAGAGGATTGTGAAACAAAACCCATTCAAAAATGTGGGGGAGATTCACAAAGAGTGGACTGCAGCTGGAGTCAGTGCTTCAAGAACCACCACACACAGACGTATGCAAGACATGGGTTTCAGCTGTCGCATTCCTTGTGTCAAGCCACTCTTGAACAAGACACAGCGTCAGAAGCGTCTCGCCTGGGCTAAAGACAAAAAGGACTGGACTGCTGCTGAGTGGTCCAAAGTTATGTTCTCTGATGAAAGTAAATTTTGCATTTCCTTTGGAAATCAAGGTCCCAGAGTCTGGAGGAAGAGAGGAGAGGCACAGAATCCACGTTGCTTGAAGTCCAGTGTAAAGTTTCCACAGTCAGTGATGGTTTGGGGTGCCATGTCATCTGCTGGTGTTGGTCCACTGTGTTTTCTGAGGTCCAAGGTCAACACAGCCGTCTACTAGGAAGTTTTAGAGCACTTCATGCTTCCTGCTGCTGACCAACTTTATGGAGATGCAGATTTCATTTTCCAACAGGACTTGGCACCTGCACACAGTGCCAAAGCTACCAGTACCTGGTTTAAGGACCATGGTATCCCTGTTCTTAATTGGCCAGCAAACTCACCTGACCTTAACCTTATAGAAAATCTATGGGGTATTGTGAAGAGGAACATGTGATATGCCAGAACCAACAATGCAGAAGAGCTGAAGGCCACTATCAGAGCAACCTGGGCTCTCATAACACCTGAGCAGTGCCACAGACTGATCGCCTCCATGCCATTGCTGCAGTAATTCAGGCAAAAGGAGCCCCAACTAACTACTGAGTGCTGTACATGCTCATACTTTTCATGTTCATACATTTCAGTTGGCCAATATTTCTAAAAATCCTTTTTTTGTATTGGTCTTAAGTGATATTCTAATTTTCTGAGATACTGAATTTAGGACTTTCATTAGTTGTCAGTTTTAATGATCACAATTAAATGAAATAAACATTTGAAATATATCAGTCTGTGTGTAATGAATGAATATAATATCCAAGTTTCACTTTTTGAATGGAATTACTGAAAGAAATCAACTTTTTGATGATATTCTAATTATATGACCAGCACCTGTGTGTGTGCGCGTGCGTGTATATATCCATCTATATCTTAGACAAGGATCCTTAAAGATGACAAGTAAAGGTGTAGGTTTCATGAGGAGGACTGCAACTAACAATTATTTTCATTATTAATTAATCTGTTGATTATTTTCGCAATTAATCAATTAGTTGTCTGGTCCAGACAATGTCAGAAAATGGTGAAAAATGTTGATCAGCGTTTCCCAAAGTCCAAGATGACAATCTCAAGTGTCTTGTTTTGTCCACAACCCCAAAATACTCAGTTTAGTCTCACCGAGGAGGAAAGAAACTAGGAAATATTCACATTAGAAAAGCTGGAATAAGAGAATTTGGACATTTTGATTAATTGTTATCAAAATAGTTGGGGATTAATATAACAGTTCGATTAATCGTTGCAACTCTATATCATGAGTTAGCGATGATTAGAAGCCACATATCTGCCACAAAACACAGCCATCAGCTGTGCTTTGTTCAAAATACTATTTATAAGAATAACCTGAAATAAAATTCAACTGCATTATGTCACGTTATCTTAGAGAACTGCACATAACAAATGTTAGGGATGACCTTTGAAGACTGCGGAAGAATTTTAAAATCCTCAAATATCAACATCGGTATCTGTCTTAATATAAAACACAGAATTAATATATTTTTGGCAATGAATTTATCATTGCAACCATTTTATTGGATTAAACGAACAAATAAGGGGCGTTACAACTCTAAAAACACCAATAACTACACACATTTTACACACCCTGTATATATTTATAAACTGAATACTGCTGGGGATTAGATTAAGTAAAGTGAGCAAATGATTACATGGTGAATCATCAATTCTCAGATTTCATGCACACAGGAGTCAAGCTAAAGCATGTACTTGAACGCCTTTTTGGAAAGCCACTGTGTGATCGACACAATGCCTAAAAAAGGATTGCAAACAGGAGGACAAGCCAAAAGCAAACAGCCCACTCACATTGATTGTATGTGGGTCGTGTGGCCCTGATAAGTCCTTGTTGGTAAGAGGATTATAATGATGGATGAGATGAGGTGATGCAGACACACAGAAATACAACGCCTGCAACGCAGCATTTAAGCCTTTGACTTTTATATTTCTATTCATGGGGCTGCTGTAGCTACCATTATTCATGGGGTTGACAGACATTACACAGTTACCACGTGGAGGAAAGAGTGACCACCACCTCCACGATCCGGGTGAGCTACAGGGCCAGGAAAGTAATCTGATCACAGTTTTTTTATCAGTTTTAAAGACAGTTGTTTTGTTTTGTAGCTCGTCCAGTTGTCAATCAATTAGCTCGGCTGGACCTTCTTGCTGAATGCAAAAGAAGGCGTAGCAGCTCGTGAAATGTCAAAGTTGCTGACAAGAGTCAAGCAAGCTGGGATAAACAAAGACAACATCCGGTGTTTTAAAATTCCAAAATAAAATGTAATAAAAGCGTTTCAGCAACACAGAAAACTGATTAAAAACAAACCTGAGATAACTGTAGCAAATTAACGATGAATTCAGGTCAACCCCATGTAACGTTACTCCCTGTTCTTGCCTTTGGATAGCAACCACAGTATTTTCACGCTTTTATTTTGAAGGCCAGAGGTTCTGTTAGCTTAACATGTTTGACACAATAAAGCTTAATGGATCGATATGTGCTAATTAGATAGAAAATAACATTAAGACAACAGGACGTTAGTCAACATGGGTTAGGAAATACGATTAAAAACACTATACCTGTAAACAGTGTCTCTAATCAACATTAGCAACCTATTATTAGCATGTCCTACCTTTTACAGTGACTCTCCTGTTCCCTTAAGTCTCATCTACAAATCAAGAACAAGAAAATTGTTAAAACAAAGCAGAGACGGCACATTACAGACACATTAAGTTAGCGACATGTTGCTGTTTTTAGTTCCTCATAGCAACATTAACACGACTGAAAGAGGAACCAAGTGCTGTTCGTCCAAATCTGTCCTTTGTGCGTCACATACGTGTAAAACCAAAACATAACACTTAAGTAATAAACTAACCCATAATGGATGATAATTAGCAACATTTAACTTTAATAACAGGCTTGCTGACTTACTTGATAGCCTGTTTTGAACTCGAGCAGAGCCCGTGCCTTGCCTCCAGGCTAACTTCTACACAGCCGAGGAGGAAACAATGAAATAATAACCGACACCAAACGTTACCGCCCGAAACGAGCCGCACAAACACCATCTAACGTTACGCCTCCATTTACACGTTAAAGGGTCAGTGAAAGTTATCCCGGGATAACTTTCTTCTAGCTTTAGCGTCGTTAACCTACTTTGTGACCGATCCAGAGGCCTTTAGCAGCAGCAGCTCTTCACTTCAATCACGACGTCTGACGTAGCTACTGCTGTCTGTGCGTGCGTGCCTGTGTGCGCGCACAGAGGTGGGGTGGGGGAGAAATACAAATCTTAAAAAATGTTAAATAACAAATTAAAATGTTTTGAGAAAGGTTTATTTACACAATAAGAAAACATGAAATGAAATGTAAATATAGAAGAAACAAATGTGCATTGTCCAAAAAAAAGTAACTTCAGCTAATGATCTAAGCTAATGAACAAGGATCCTAAAAGAAGGAAAAGCAGTAGTGTTCATGAGTTAGTGATGATGAATCCATGACACAGACTTAATGAATATTTGGCTGTTGATTCATCATTGTAACCATTTTATTGGAAGAAAAGAAACACATTATAGGCTTTACAACTCTACACAAATAACTAAACACATTCCCTCTTTATATATTTATAAACTGAATACTGCTGGGGATGAGACGAGGTTAGAACACGATTAAAACTTTGTTTGTCTGCACAATAAGAGAATATGAAATGCAATGTAAATGTAGAAAAAAAAGTAACTTAAGCTAAAGAAAACAAGATACTGATTACAGTTAGTTAGTTACAGTCAATAAAGATATTTCCACCTTATTGTTATTATTATTACATTACATTATTAAATCCCACTCAGCTACATAACCGTTGAATATTTTTTCAAAATAGTGTAAAAATATCTTCTCCTCTTGTTCTTGTGAACACAATTAAGTGTATCGTCACACCCCTAATCTGAGCCCTCACGTCCCCACCACTTTTCAACACAAAGTGAAACCCTTGAATACTAGACCAAGTTTTTAGTCCCATACCCATGATAAGCATAAATTAAATCCACATTTCTAACAGGAAACATAGATTTTTAAGCTTTTTGAGCTGAATGTCACATGTTTTGGAAATCTCTACTTAAAACTTTGGGGTTTTCATTTAAAATAAATATTTGACGTTTCCCATATTTGAAATAAAATAACATTTTACACAGTGAAATAAATACATGCATCTATATAGTTGTTTACAGCAAGCAGCAGCTAATATGAAGGTCAAGCGCGTGATTTATTATTTTGCGGTTCATGAGATTTGGGTCAACCGTCTCTCTCGCCCCCCCACCCCCCCTCTATCCAGCACCATGTTGGAGGCCCACTACTCTCCCTAAGGCACTTCTTCAAAGGACGTGTTTCATAACTTTATTTATTTATTTATTTTTTATTTCCCTGTCTATCTCTGCCAGTGAGTGGACAAACAACCGACGGCTGCTCCCTGGGATACCCCCGCTTCCTCCTCCTGCTCCTCCTTCCAGTAGCTCTGTGGCTATTTGTCCTTATATGTCCAGGGTGCTCTGCAATCACAGGAAGGGGCCGATCTCTTATTGTTGCGGAGCCATCAACACTTTGGCATCAACTCTGGGATTTGAAGTCAAAGCATGGCCTCAGCCCATACATTATCAGATAAACAAAATTCTGTCCAGGCAACCAGGAAACCACAAAACCAGGGGAATCCCTGCCTTTGTTCTGTTTGACGAGGAGTGACAGTTAAATAGGTGTTGAAAAATCTTACTTGCTTGTGAAATTACTGTAAAAAACTGTGCTTGTTCTTCATTTTAAGTTCACTGGAGTCTTCAGTTTGATGCTCAACAGTACCAGCTCTGCATTTTATCAAGAATGGGGTCGCTGATGGGCACTGACAGATGGGGTAACATGCAGGAAGTTGCCATGAGTGTTGCCAAGCCTTGCCAACGGGATGGACTCAATGGCTTCCGTCCATTGGTGAACCTGTTTAGTAATGTTCTCACTTTTCCTCAACCGCCCCCCTCATCCGTTCTTCTCACAATGCCTGGAAGTAGCCGAGACCTACATCTCCCTCTCTGTTTTCTTAATCGTTGTTTTCCTTTATGGTTTTTCATTTTTTTTTCTCTCCTTCTTTTACAAAGCACACAATTGATCCGACCTCCATCCAAACAAATAAAAACACAAGGACACGCACACGAGCCATACACCCCATGCAAACACCTCGCTTCCGATTCACATTTTCAAAGGATTTATATCCAAACATGGTCATGTTGTCTGATTTTTATTTCATCTGACTTGTTTGCTTTTCATAAAACACATCTACAAAAGAGATTTTACAATTTTACAAGTTGCAGCCCAAAATTCAACTAGACCTGCATGCATTGGTCAAAGCACCCAACCAGTATTAAAGCGTTTGACACCAGTGGTTCCCGACCTAAAGTACCCCCACAGCCCTGTCAATTGAACTTGCATCTATCATGATCACACCTGTCATGTATCAAATATATAACATTTATACATTTTATTACATAAACATGGATATTGTTTGTTCTGCTCATACAATTTAAGTGTCGATGTTATGGTTGGTTTGGTCATCTTCACTACTTCCATACAAAGCTGATGTTCCAACCATTTGACCATAGCTTTTGGCCAATCATTTGTAGGGCTGCAACTAAAGATTATTTTCATTGTCGATTCTTTTCTCGAATAACTGATTAGTTGTTTGGTCTGTAAAATGTCAGAAAATGGTGAAAAACGTAAATCCTTGTTTTCCAAAGCCTACAATGATGTCCTCAGATGTCTTGTATTGTCCACAGCCCAAAGATATTTGGAAGTTTACTGTCATGAAAGAGTAAAGAAACCACACAATATTCACATTTAAGAAGCTGAAATCAGAGAATTTTGATTTTGATTTTTGTAAGAACATTACTCAAAGTAGTTGGCAATTCATTAACTGTAATGGTCGACAACTGTTTAGCTAAAATAAATAGCTAACAATTGTTAGCTTAATATGTGGATATATTCTTTTTAACCTGGTTGGGAATCACTGGTCTACACAATTGAAAAGGCTACATCCCTTTAACTACACATGTTACATTTCAGCTCATTCCATATTTTTCTTTGACAGTACATCTGAATTGGGTGCCGTCTTATCAGTTGAAATAAAAAATAATAATAATAATCTTCTTTTTATTAATCAAATGTCCACTTGCTTCATTCTGCAATCCTCGCTTTTTGTTCAAGAAGCGTTTATCTACCCGAAGTCGACCTTGAAGAGTTCTCTCCTCCTTCTTCAACGTCTCCTTCTGTGAAATACTTTGATCTGAAGGAAACACAGTTCACAGTTCACTTTTGCGGTGCCTCAATTAACTGTCCTGAGCCTGGTTCTCTGTGAACCCGAGGCTGCCCTGAGGATGAAGTAACTTTCCACTAGTTTTTTTTTTTTGTTGTTATTCATGACCCCTGAGCCCTTCTCCCCCTCGCTCCATTATGCCCCCCCTATCTTCATTTCTCCTCCCTTGTCTCCTGCTCGCTTTATTATTGACGGATGTCCTGCACAGGCGTTTTCATCCATGTCTATGAGCAGCTTTGCAGGATGCATTCAGAAGTATGTGTGTGTGCAGGTGGGTGTGTAGGGCAGTTCCTGCACATCTGTCGGCTGCATTTCTCTCAGTCAGGGCAGAGAAAAGGTTGTTTTTCACCACCAGGAGAAGGTGTCTCCCATCTAGAATGATCGATTTGGTCTTGCTTCCTTCCTCTTGGTCCTCATAACACTACGCCTCTGCTCTCAGGCAGCAAGCCAGGAGCTTCCGGACACTGTTGTGGAGCACTTATTAGTGCCCGTTTACTTAAACTGGTCAACTCAGCAATGACACAGTTTTCCTTTGAATGTCAAAGCTTCATACATGCAAATTAAAAAATTTCGGAAATCACCAAAATATGAATGAAACTTAAAAAGTACCCATAATAATGAGATAGACTATCAACAAGGAGGGCACAGCTTGTTTACCCAACAAAAAGTTGGTCTTCCAGCTTCCTCTCAGGCAGTTTCCTCTGTCCTGGAGAGGCGTGAAGGGTAGGAAAGCGTTGGTGGGGGAAGGCTGAAGCTCTCCGGGAGAGCCAGGCACGTACCGCATCTCCCCAAGGGTCCTCATATATATATTTTTTCAACATGGCACAAAAACACACCATGCTTTCCTGCCATTACTTCGCACAGAGCTATGGGGGTTTAGAAAAACTAATAGGCCACTAAAAATACTTGGAGCCCGGGGCCTGGGCCAGGGCTTTTCCTTCCAGTGTACGCGTGGGGCATTGAGGAAAGAGGAAACAAGCAGCTCTGGTTGCATGGGGGCTTCCTGCACGACATTATAAAGAGCTCCCTCCCTTCAGCCTCCCCTCACAGTGCTGTTCAGAGCCAGTGGAGACTGAGGGTGAGGCCCTGCTCCACGTCTTCGATTGTAGACTGAACACTGTGCCGAGGGGTTTGACGTCAACGCGGCGCACGTTAGTTCTCGTCCCTGCTGGTCGGGGTGAGTTGGAAATTGAATCTTGGTACATTCACATCACTGCTTGTTTGGATTGACATGTTTGGTTTTAAGCGGAGATGTTGATGATTTAGTTCTTTCTTGATTAATCCTTAAAAATTTGGAAAAGTAATCACTGGACAGATGAGGATGTCCACTGAAGTCAATTGTTTCAGTGAAATAAAGAGGACTTAAAATGGTTTCACTTCAGATTTTGACAACATTTTAAGTCTTGATGAGCTCTCAGCAGTGACTACTTTGCTGCAACTTGCAGCTGCTTTGATAAATGAATAGTAAAGTATTCATGATAAAGATCAAGTGAATCAAGGGGATGTTTCTTTTGTTGTCATCATGCAGGTACGAGTAGGGAGCTGGTCTCACCTAACAGATGTGTCTGGGACACTCCAGCATATTTATTTGATCAACTACACATAGGTAGGTCATCAATGTGCATCAATATTTAAAAAAACGTTCATGCATTGTGAATTCAAACAATGCATGTGGGTTGCTTGTTTCATCTATGATGCCTTCTCCACAGATCCAAATGAGCATGATGGAGCTGGAAGGATACCGGGTGGACAGAGAGCAGGGGGGGATGAGGGCTGCTGCCCCGGCTGAGGGATACGTGAAGGAGTTCAC